GGAAAACCCCAGTAAAGCTGAGCTCCATAGAGAAACAGTAAAGTCACAATAATCCTCAGAGATAAGAGACTAGAGGTCAGCTTCAAGGTCAAGGTTCACCCCAGTTGGACCGTCCTTCTCTGAGACAAAGTGGACGTGATGGAGAACACCGAGGAGGACACCCTGCTGCTAGCATCCCTGCTAATGATCCACGGAGCTTCTGGGAGAACCTCCTCTGGACCGGAGCGTTCTGATGAATCACATCAGCTCCACAGCCGGAGACGCTACTTCCTGTTTCAGATTTACCGCGAACGAACCCGCGAGCTCAAGCCAATAACATCTACCCAACCAGTCCCACCGGGCCGTACCGGGCTCAGTTACAGAACCTCAGTGAATGGGCCAGGTGCTGCTCATTACCTGTGTGTGTGTGTGTGTGTGATAACCAGCTGCTCTCTCAGCTGCTCCTGCTGTCAGGAGCTTCATCTGGGACACGGAGGTCTTTAATTAGGCAGCTGGACTTCTTTGGTTTCTTGGAGACGTTTCTCTTCTCATCCGAGGAGCTTTGTCACTTCTGACTGGGATAAGCTATAGATGTCTGTTGTCGTTTAACCAGCAGAAACTACTCTGAGTACCCCTCCTCTCTACCGCCTGATGAGTCGGTGTGTGGATTAGATGCAGGACGGTGTGACCTAGACTGAAGATGCTTAGGAGTGAGGCCCAAAGCTGCGTTATCGGTACTGGAAAGGTGAAATCTAAGCCCCGCCCCTATTTAAAGTGGGGTCTTTACGTATGGCATAGATGGCTTCTTTTATTTGTTCATCAGCACATGACCTCTGTGAGGATCGCTTCCTCCTCCAGGAGCTCTTCCTCCTCCAGAAGCTCTTCCTCCTCCAGGAGCTCTTCCTCCTCCGGGAGCTCTTCCTCCTCCAGGCATTCTGTCTCCTCCAGTCATTCTGTCTCCTCCAGGAGATCTTCCTCCTCCAGGAGCTCTTCCTCCTCCAGAAGCTCTGTCTCCTCCAGGAGCTCTTCCACCTCCAGGTGTTCTGTCTCCTCCAGGAGCTCTGTCTCCTCCAGGAGCTCTTCCTCCTCCAGGAGCTCTTCCACCTCCAGGAGCTCTTCCACCTCCAGGAGCTCTTCCTCCTCCAGGAGCTCTTCCTCCTCCAGGAGCTCTTCCACCTCCAGGAGCTCTTCCTCCTCCAGAAGCTCTGTCTCCTCCAGGAGCTCTTCCACCTCCAGGAGCTCTTCCACCTCCAGGAGCTCTTCCACCTCCAGGAGCTCTTCCTCCTCCAGGAGCTCTGTCTCCTCCAGGAGCTCTTCCTCCTCCAGGAGCTCTTCCACCTCCAGGAGCTCTTCCTCCTCCAGGAGCTCTTCCACCTCCAGGAGCTATTCCTCCTCCAGAAGCTCTGTCTCCTCCAGGAGCTCTTCCTCCTCCAGGAGCTCTTCCACCTCCAGGAGCTCTGTCTCCTCCAGGAGCTCTTCCTCCTCCAGGAGCTCTTCCACCTCCAGGAGCTCTTCCTCCTCCAGGAGCTCTGTCTCCTCCAGGAGCTCTTCCTCCTCCAGGAGCTCTTCCACCTCCAGGAGCTCTTCCTCCTCCAGGAGCTCTTCCTCCTCCAGGAGCTCTTCCACCTCCAGGAGCTCTTCCTCCTCCAGGAGCTCTGTCTCCTCCAGGAGCTCTTCCACCTCCAGGTGTTCTGTCTCCTCCAGGAGCTCTGTCTCCTTCAGGAGCTCTTCCTCCTCCAGGAGCTCTTCCACCTCCAGGAGCTCTTCCTCCTCCAGGAGCTCTTCCACCTCCAGGAGCTCTTCCTCCTCCAGGAGCTCTTCCACCTCCAGGAGCTCTTCCTCCTCCAGGAGCTCTTCCTCCTCCAGGAGCTCTTCCACCTCCAGGAGCTCTGTCTCCTCCAGGAGCTCTGTCTCCTCCAGGAGCTCTTCCGCCTCCAGGAGCTCTTCCACCTCCAGGCGTTCTGTCTCCTCCGGAAGCTCTTCCTCCTCCAGGAGCTCTTCCTCCTCCAGGAGCTCTGTCTCCTCCAGGAGCTCTTCCTCCTCCAGGAGCTCTTCCTCCTCCAGGAGCTCTTCCACCTCCAGGAGCTCTTCCACCTCCAGGAGCTCTGTCTCCTCCAGTAGCTCTTCCTCCTCCAGGAGCTCTGTCTCCTCCAGGAGCTCTGTCTCCTCCAGGCGTTCTGTCTCCTCCAGGAGCTCTTCCTCCTCCAGGAGCTCTTCCTCCTCCAGGAGCCCTTCCTCCTCCAGGAGCTCTTCCTCCTCCAGGAGCTCTTCCACCTCCAGGCATTCTGTCTCCTCCAGGAGCTCTTCCTCCTCCAGGAGCTCTGTCTCCTGCAGACGCTCGATGTCGACACTAATGAACTTCAACAGAAAAAGAGCTGCTTTCATCCAGAGAACGTGATGAGCCGTCCAAGCCTTCCGTATTGTGGACCTTCCTTCTGCGGTGCGGCGATAACAGCGACTCGTGGGCTAATTGGATCCACAGTAAAAGCCGGAGCGACGGGAAGCAGCTGAACGAGCAGATAAGCTGCCGGTTCTCCATCACACATCCGACTGGCCGGCTCACTAAAGACGAAGCAGATTCTAACTCTGAGTTTCATCTCGGGTCTGATTTGTTAACAGAAACATAAATCTGTTACCTTCTCATCATCGCCTCCCTTTTATTCTGCAAGCGTTTTCCAGATGTTTCCATCTTCCCCTTTTCTGGGATTTATTTATATTTTTTAAAGACCTTTTCAGCTTTTTATGTTTCTTTTGAGTCTTTTCAACGTTTCTTTATTTTCTTTATTTTATTTTTGACCCTTATCAGTCGTCGCTCCTGACTTTAGAGCATCCAGAACCTGGTCTGGCTGGAGCAAACGTGCTTCTGGACGAAATCTTTCCGAGCGTGTAGTGACAGCTGTTAGCGTTGCCGTGGTGATCTTGTTTCTCAGCGGCGACACACTCTCATCCCTGAGACTGAACGCCATTACAGCATTGGTTCCTCCGCTTCCTGTCGGTGATGATGTCATCAGGACTGACACCCCTCACACCAAACTTGAAACCAAATCGTATCCCAGAAACTTTTTTTTCCCAGCGGAAGTAAAAAAAAATAAGCGTTTGAAATTGGAATTCTGTGTTTTTTACATGAAGTCCTCGTTTTCCTGAAGTGTGAAAGTCACCAGCAGCTAAACTTCCTCTGGAATGACCCTTTGACCTTTCTTCTCTGTTTCAAACCGAATGTATTTCATGTTTGATCTGATGGTTGGATTTTGTGTCTCCACAGTTCCCAGCGCTCCTCCTCAGAACATCACATTAGAGGTCGTCCTCTCCAGGGTGAGTTGAAATGTCCTTCCTGACTTTCCGTCCCGGCTTCTGTCCTGATCCTGCCGACATCAGGATAAATGAGTCAGTAGAGTTGTTGTGGTCGGCTAAATTTGGAGTTTCTCTGCAAGACCTGTGGGAATGTTCTCCTAGAGCTGTTATTCCTCCTGCGGGTGTCGGAGGAGAAGTTGTTCCCGAAGCTCCGGTGTTTCCGAGCTGAAGGCTCCGAGTGCTGACACAGGTTGATCTTCAGGTGTGTTTCATAACTGATGACTTTCATCAGAACCGAATCAGAGGTTTGTCTCCAGAGCTCTGACCTTATTTTCCTGACTGATGAACGGGAAGCGTTTCCTGGTTAATGACCTCACAGATTCACGCTGCTGATGTTGTTTAGACAACAAACAACCCAAAAGGTTAAAGTGCATCGCTGCTTAAACAGAAACAACAACAGAGGTTAAACCGGACCCAGATGTTTGAGGCAGCAGAACTGGTTCTGGTTCTGGTTGCTTCTCCTCAGGCAGCAGCAGCAGGAGACGTAATGAATGTCTCCTGAGATGGCTCGAGCAGCTCGTAGCTCCGGTCTACAGAGCCCTGACCTGCTTTAGTTCCCATCTGATGGCTTTCCTGCGTGCTCCTGATTGATGTTCCTCCACTTGCTGGCTCTTGGCTGATCCATCAGGAATGTCAGACCTTACTGGAACACCAAAAAAAAAAACGGGAAGGTTTCATCAAACTTGGAATCCTGGTTAAGGACAGAAAACCCAGAACAACCTGGTAAATGTCTGACCTTTGACCTTTTAAGTGTTTGCTAAAACAGAAAGCTAAAGAACAAAGACCAGAACATTCGCTAGGCTAACTAGTGCTAATGCTCTACTGGTTAACCCGCCAACCACTGACCAACTATTACACGTCTGGTCAGCTAGAAGTTAATCAGGAAATCAGTACTAAACAACTAGTCAGTGTTCACTACGGGTTGACCAAAGCGTGGTTCCATATTTGTCATTAGACAGTGTCCAAAATAATTTTAAATATAAAAAATTGAGTTGTGGTGAAGGTCCCACCAAACCTGAACAGGTGACTTTAAAGGAGACCACTAAGTCCACTGATCTCAGGCTCGGGGGGAGAGAGGTCCAGAGTCTGGGGGCCACAGCAGCAAATGATCTGTCACCTTTGACCTTTAGCCTGGTGCTGCACAACCAGTAGGCTTGGGTCACTGGACCTCAGGGACCTGCTGGGGGTGTAGGGACTAAGAAGATCACCAATGTAAGATGGTGCTTGTCCATGTAAGGCCCTATAGACCAGAACCAGGATCTTGAAATGAACCCTGAAGTTGACTGGCAGCCAGTGAAGCTGGAGGAGAAGCGGGGTGATGTGGGTGTGTTTGGAGGACTTGGTCAGAAGCCGAGCACAGGCGTTCTGAACCACCTGTAGACGGTTCAGGGAGGTTCTGCTCAGACACGTGAAAAGAGAGTTACAGTAGTCTAAGCGTGAGGAGATGAAGGTGTGGAGAACTGTCTCAAGTTCAGAGATGAAAGATGTCCACGCTGCAGAAAGGAGCTGCCTCATCTCCACATCATTTCCACCAGCATCTGTTTGTTCCGGCGCTGAATAGCCTTCAGCGCGTTGACCCCGACGTTTGCAATAACTACTGAATCACTTCAACAGGATAAAGCTCCAGTAAAAACGGCTCTGTGTGTTAGAGATGGAGGTGTCCTGCTGAGACCCGACTAGGAGATTTCTGTTGTAGGATCACTTTCTGTGTCTGGGTAATACCAGTCAGTGTGGTGGTCCAGTGGTGGTCAGATGGTCCTGCATTGATCTCTCTCCAGCCACTTGGGCCGGCTTCTCCGGGAGACATAGTCCCTCCAGCATGTCCCGTGTCTCCCTTTAGGTCTCCTCCCAGTTGGACGTGTCTGGAAAACCTCCCCAGGAGGCATCCTGACCAGATTCCTGAACCACCTCAACTGGCTCCTCTCGACGTGGAGGAGCAGCGGGTCTACTCCGAGCCCCTCCCAGATGACCGAGCTCCTCACCCTGTCTCTAAGGGAGAGCCCAGCCGCCCTGCGGAGAAAACTCATAATGATGTCATGAAAACTACGGCCCAGCCCCACTGTTCACCTGGACAAACACATATCACCTGCCTCCATGTTTGACTTTTAAACCAAGACCACCCGATCATCGGAACGGTCTGATCCAGAATCTGTTTAACCGAAACAAACAGAAACGATTCTTTTCATACCCCACCGACTGAGTCGGCTGTGGACTGAAGAAACCCTCCAAAAAATCACCTTTCAGCAGAAATCAGGGAGAAACCGTCTCACTTTTCTGCATAATAACAACGTGCAGAAACTCTCAGGTGGGTTTTAAACACTGCGAGTCGACAGGGCCACAGCTGCTGCTTTGAAATGTCTTCATGCTGCAAAATATTCTTAAAATCTGAGTTCAGCTTTAATAATTTTACCAACATGTAAGTTTAGGAGAAAACAACGTGCACGCCAACCCCTGCAGCATTCAGCAGATCACTCTTCAGCTGTCACACAAACTCCATCATGCGCCGCTCGTGTGTGTGTGTGTGTGTGTGTGTGTGTGTGTGTGTGTGTGTGTGTGTGTGTGTGTGGATCCTGCCTGAGTCACTTTCTCAGCGAGTTGTTGCTGAAGGAGGAAATGTTTCTGCTCCTGTCAGGTTTGTGCTGTCAAACCAACTTTTCAGACAAACGTGACATTTCCTCAACTTTTCCTCCGTTCTGGAGTGGAACCGTGTGTGTGTGTGTGTGTGTGTGTGTGTGTGTGTGTGTGTGTGTGTGTGTGTGTGTGTGTGTGTGTGTGTGTGTGTGTGTGTGTGTGCGTGTGTGTGTGTGTGTGTGTGTGTGTGTGTGTGCGTGTGTGTGTGTGTGTGTGTGTGTGTGTATACAGTCTGCTGAAGCTGGGGAGACTTCAGCCCAGACTCCTCGAGGGAGTTGAGGTGAGGTCACTTTGACTGTTGAATCTGGATCGGGAGAGAACTTTTGGAACATTCAACTATTTATAAAAGCGTTCCCCTCCGGAGTCGAACTTGCCATTAGGCTGAGGAAGGAGTGGGACGCTCAGGGTTCGGGTCACGATGATAAAATGAACTTGTGGGTTTTCAGCAGCTGCTTTAACGTTTGCTTTTGGCAGATTTCAGTTTTAACTCAGAACAAACGCGTCTGTCTGCATAGAAGAAGGCTGATTTCCTTTTTGATGCTTCTTTGTTTTGACTCCTATCAGAAAAGCTTTTTCGGTTTTCTACAACCGAAGAAGCCTCTGGGATAAGGCTCCTTTAAAATCCCACTTCAGTTAACCGACACGGTCATTTGGATTTTAGGGTTAAAACCTCCGTTTGCCTCCTAGCAGGAATAATCAACTCGTTGATGGAAGCGGCGCTACTGTGTTCGCATGAATGTGGACAGAAGACCGAGCTCCGGTTAGCACACCGACGCCACGGCCAGTCCCCGTCACACAGAACCACGATAATTGACGCTAATGTGATCTAGAGGGGAGAATACCTTTATCCTAAACCATAGGTAAACTGACGGTGGCTCAAGAGCTAGGTGCTCACCCCGAAATCAGAAGGTTGCAGGTTCGAGTCCCGCTCAGTCTGTCGCTGTCATTGTGTCCTTGGGCAAGACGCTTAACCCACGGTGGCGCCTGCACTCGACAGCCTCGCCTCTGTCAGTGTGCCCCAGGGCAGCTGTGGCTACATTGTAGCTCATCACCACCAGCGTGTGAATGAGTGAATGGCTTATTGTGTTGTAAAGCACCTTGGGGGGGTTCCAGGACTCTGGAGGGCACTACATCAAATACAGGCCCTTTAAGAACAACAGCAAAAGTGTGTTTGCAAGTTGTCAATAGTTTTATTGACCTAAAATGAGTCATTTAACAACCACTAAAACACAGATAAGAGGTTCACTAATAAAAGTAGAACACTAAAAAGCTCCTAAAACCACTTTTAAAAGCACAAGCCGTCATCGGGGGAACCTACGCTAAAGCTACTTCCTGTAGCCAAACCTCATTCACACGCACGCAGCCTTAGAAATTTTCCTAGGTGCGCGTTGCGGAAATTTTGGGCTGTGCGGAGACGCGGTGGAGGGGCGTGGTTGTTAAAATGATGCAATTTCGCCACGCGGAGCCGTGCGGACCTCGCGGACGCGTCAAGCATAAACCTCATGCGGCTCGTCTCTGCAGTGAGCCAATATTCTCCCAAACTGTAGGGGGCAGCATGGAGCTCTACAGCATGCATCCAACACTACACCATAGTAGAAGTAGAAATTACTGTTTACAACATGGCATTCCAGCATTTTTTAACAGCGTCCTCGTCTTTTTCGACAGTGCGAGCTATTTCTCTCCAAGAATTATTAACAACATGTTGATCACGGTGATCTCTGAGAGCTGAATCATACAAATGTCTGTATTTACGAACCTCTGCCATACTAGTTCTTGCCAGTCCGCCATGTTTTTCCGCGTCCGACCGTCTGCGTGGTTAGAAAATTTCCTAGGTGTGCGGTGCGGAAAGTTTGGGCCGTGCGGAGGCGCGGTGGATGGGCATGGTTGTGAAAATGACGCAATTTAGCCGCACGGAGCCGGGCGAACCTCGCGGATGCATCAAGCGTAAACCAAGCTTTAAGTGAATTAACCACTCAAACAATCCCTGCAGCGGGCATGAAGCTACCTACCCTGCCAAGGACAGCAACGTCACCCAGCTAGCTAACCTCAAATACAAGCTTCTTCCCTAACCCATTCTTTCCTTCCTTCTTCTTCTTTCTTCTTCTTCTTCTTCTTCTTCTTCTTCTTTCTTCTTTCTTCTTTCTTCTTTCTTCTTTCTTCTTTCTTTCTTCTTTCTTCCTTCCTTTTCTTCTTCTTCTTCCTTCTTTCTTCTTCTTTCTTTCTTCTTCTTCTTCTTCTTCTTTCTTTCTTCTTCTTCTTCCTTCTTTCTTCTTCTTTCTTTCTTCTTCTTCTTCTTCTTCTTCTTCTTCTCCTTTTCCTTCTCCTTTCTT